AATCCAAAATGTGCAAAAGTCTCAAAACCTCTATTTCATGTGCATCACATTATTTATTTTTTAATTGATGAATATCATAAAATTCTTTCTACAATTTATATTTTTTAAATAAATATTTATATTGATTTTCTGTCCAATTTTATTCTACACTTTTAAATTTTATTCAAATAAGTTATCAAAATAAACAATCTTTTGAAATTCATTAAACTTACGTATACATTGTTGATGAAGTAGTCACATTTTATGTTGCTACAAATATATGAATTTATAATCCAAATTAGATTGGTACACTATACTTATTTTGAGGGATGTGATTTTTCTCACTTAACCACTTCTATATACAGTGTATAAGCAATTATTTAGGTGAAAGAGTTTAATGAGCTGGTCAATATAGACTCCAAGCATGAAAGTCTACTTATGTGTCAAGTTTGTTAGATCCATCATGATAAGTGTAAGGTTAGTCCTTAAACTCAAAGGTTACCATAATCTATCTTATAAGTGTTCTACCATATTTCAATATTAGAAACTTGTAGTTATATAATTTAGTTATACATACGTGGTCATTTGACATATAAAGCTCATAGTGGTGAGAATTATCAGATGATTTATCAATTCGAAAGTAAGAAACATTGTTTGTTATGTGATTGAAAAGTTTGATACAAAAACTTTTTTGACTAAAAATGAAATTAATTACAAAGGAGTTTCGAATTAAATTAAAAACATCTAAGTTAACCAATAAAATTATATTGTTACATGAAGTTTGGCTTATCATTTATATTTAGGAGATAAGATATAGAAGTATTGAATTGCATGATAACTATTCACAAAAAATTTAGTTATAATAGAATTAATAAAAATAATTTTTTTTTTTTTAAAAAAAGATGAATCATTATCAAATGCATTAATCATGGATGAAATACTAACACTACCCACAACTTTAGATTTCAACAACTAAAGTTTGATGTTATTTACTAATGAACTTAGAGGGTCACACATAAAATAGGGATTGAATCGTTTTTCCATATAAGTTAATTTTATAGAAATTAAATCAATAATGATTATTCCTAATTGATCATATGATGACTAATTGAAGGTTGCTTCAAGTTAGTATTATTTTATTTACAATTAAATTAAGTAAATGACTTAATTATTTAAAAATTAATATAAAAAAGTTAGTTATTTTGGATGTACATAGCATGATAATCTTAGATTACATATGATATGAAGAAACAAGGAAGAGAATTAAGAAAAATAAATAAATTTTTTCTTTAACCAATCTTGAACAGATGATGTTGATCCTGAGTCCCTAAGGATTTTCTTCTATTACATTTCATATTTGTCAAACTCATTTCTAATGACTTCATATACATATATATATACACACACACACACATACATACAAAAACTCTTATTCTCTTCTTTCATAAGCACTTCTTAGTCAAAAGTTAAAAAGAATGAAATTTTCATTTGTCGTTGATTTTGTGAAAGATAATATAAAAAGAACATATGTGCAAAACTCAAACTAGAAAGTGAACTTGATAACAAACATTTCAACATTATAGTATTGGTATAGATACTTTGGCAAGGATTCTCTTAAACTCCTACCTCGAATTTCTTGTATAAAAGTTCAGCAAGAGGAAAGCATGAAAAAGCCTTTGGCAAAAATATGATTTTTCAGCCACGTATGCTTTCGTTAATTGATTTTTTTTTTTTAATTTCAATTTTGAAATATGTATTACGGTTATGAACGTTCTTCATTGCATAAAACTTTTATACATTTAAGTTTTTTTTTTTTTTTTTTTTTTTTTTTTCTCCTCTACTGGATATGTATGAGAGCTTTTTACATTTAGAAATTTAAACTCATAAATTCTAAATCATGTATATTTCACGTTAATAATATATATATGTAATTAAGGTGTTGACTTAATTATTTTAGTATCTAAATAACATTAGGTACTTATATATATAATCAAGTAGAAACATAAAATGTATGTTCTTGTAGCCATGAATTGCTTATGAAGCTGCCTATCATATTTTGTATTTTTTTTTTATGGTCTTGCTAATAATTTATACTGTTTTTTATGTCTTGCTTAAATTATATATATATATATATTCAGTTCATTATGTATATTTTATGTATATTTGCATGTTTTGTTGTGTCTTTTTTTGATATTATGTCAGTGCGTCACGTATAATTTCATGTTTGGTATAATTGAACATTATTGCTTTTCTAATATAGGATTTCTCTACTATTTTATAGTGAATTGGAAAAATATCATCATCATGACTATAAATTAAGGATAGTAGTAATCGATTATATTATTAAACAAAAAATAAAAATAAACCCATATAAGTTAATTTTCAAACTTAAAAATTAATGTAAAGTTAAAAGTTTTTAGTAACTTTGACATTTGAAATTGTTAAAATTACTGAGAATATTTTTTAAAAGTAAGTTTGAAATTAGAATTTTCATTTAGGAAGATAAAAGCGTATTATTAATGAGCTTTTTCTTTTTCCTATTTTTTTTAATCATATATATATATTGTGTTCTATAAATATCTTTTACTACTTATTTGTAATTCATATTTTCAAAAATTGAATTTCTTCTTCTCTATAATACGATTATTTTAAATTTCTAATTTTAACACTAAATTACAAAAAAAAAAAAAGAAAAAAGAAAAATAGAAATTCCACTTGATTTAAAATGGCATTATTACTTAAATTGAAATTCAACATATTTTCCAGCAAGTACAATTTCTTAGTTTTTCTCTGTACAAGGATATATTGACAATTAACATTAATGCTTAATTTAAATATATCACATATTTATATTTATGTTTTTGATATTTTTAATTTTTCATTTACAAGTATATTCTCTATAAATATATGTTTGACTATAAATTGTTTAAAATAATTTTTCATATACTCAATACAGTCCAAAATATAGATAATTAAAAATAAAAATATGTAGGATAGTATTAACTAAAATAGTTTAAAAAAAGAATATTTAAATATGTTAATTTTTTTATAAGAATGACACAAAGTGGATGTGAAACTAGTATGTTAATCTTTGTCTAGTTAATAAAAATACAAATTTATATCTGTCTTATAACTGAAGTTAGTAAAAAAATAATTTTTCTACTACATATGTAAAATATATTGCTTGCTCAATTTATATTTTTTAATTTAAAAAAATTTATAAAATATTTAAATAATTTTAATTAAAAAATATTAAATATTTATTAATTAATAAATATAAACTAACATTATAAATAAATAACATTAAATATTAATTAATTAAAAATTAATTAACTTAAATAAAATTAAAAATTTAGTAATTTTATATAGAGTTTCATCATTATCCACGGATGGAAACTCAAAAGCGCCGTGTGCGCATTGCGCACAGCCCACTCTCAGGCAAAAGAAGATCAACCCCTGCTTCACTGGCTCTACACTCTTCCAAGTTTCTTCATCATCCATCTACACTCTCTCATTCTTTGTCGCTGTCTCTATCTCTCTCCTAATCACATGTTAAATAATCCTTCAACTCACTAGAATCCCCTCGCACACTGAGCTTCACTC